TTTAATCTGAAAGTGATAAATGAAGAAAATTAAAGCATGACTAGCAAAGTACAAGGTATCCAACTTCTTGATACCTGAACAGAAATGAATGCAATGGATTGGTTATGGCAATAAGAAACTGAGTAAACAACTGCACTACTGCATACACGTTTTTGTAAGATACAAGAATTCTCATTCAACTGAGAAACTTTCTCCTACACTGTCACACTCATTATCACGACCGTTGTCAACATTCAAAATGTTGAATGTATTTGACACAGGGAAATGGTTAAAAGCTTTTCTTCCAGGATGTTGAGATTGACACTGTACTAAAACAATCCATATATGGCATACTGGCACCATATCTAGTTAATGAATTATGGACGTAGCATTCAACTCGTATTCAACATTCCCCCACCTCCACCTTCTTTTGTCTCCCTCCTTTATCAATAGCAGGAAAAAAAAAGTCTAACTGCGTGTTAGGCATAACACGAAAAGGGCAGCTAGCCTAACACTTATGGCATAAGGTTCTAAATACTTTCTTCTTCAATCGATCCCTTCATTGAAATTAAAGTTTGGTCCAAAATCCAGACAAATTCTCTAGTGCTAATAATAATACACCAACGGCAATATCGGGAGAGGAGAGATTAATATTAATTCTTTCTTCAAATTTCCTTGTTCCAAAACAAATGTTTGCATTTCTTCTACATGCAAATGGCATTATAAACAAATGAATTTATCAATGCAGTCACTGATCTCAAGAGTTCACGATTGCATTTCTTTTAAGGATCTAAATGGCAACACCAGGTGCAGAGATTGTTGCACAAACTTGAAACTTTTAGCATTGACTAAGATGTTAATGTTGTCTAACGGACAAAGTCCATAATATCAACCTATGGGAGGCTCACCTAAACGATGAGACTATCACAGCCACCAATCACAATCAAAACTCGTCCTAACATGACATCCAAGCGTTTTAAAGATCAGTGCATATAAATCTCTTAATTAATATGTTATATTCATATAAGCAACTCAATTTATCTCACGTTTTTAACAGCCCTCATTCATCAGGAGATCTAATGAAGGATTGCGCACATGTTTGGATCCACCATAAAAGCAAGTACCAGAAAGAAAAACACGAAAATATCCTACTTCCCGACGACGAGCAGAACAACCACAAGATCCGACGGCGAAATGCGTCAAATCAAATGAAAAAACGAGCAAGTGGAGCAAGAATGATGGTACAGATCGGATGGAAGGGATCTGACCATCTCCGTCCTTGTCGAACAAGCTGAAGGCCTCCTTGAACTCGGAGATCTGCTCGTCGGTGAGCTGCTCCGCCATGCCTCCTCGGGGATCGAGCACCGGAGCGATCCGATCAAAGAGATCTGCAGCGAAGACCCGCAGAGAGAGAGAGAGAGAGAGAGAGAGGCAAAGAGCGATCTTGAGCGCTTTGTGCCCTCGACATCGGAGAATTAGGGGCCTCGTCTTATACGACTCCGCCAGGGGCCAACGGCGAGTCAACGGTCTCGTAACGGACGTGGAATACTTTTCTTCCCATAAATTTTGTGACGGCCCGGATTGCCATTGGGGAGTTCACTACCGTCCGATCGTGGTCCAACGGTTAAGATGTTACACGAACGGTTCTAGGCCTACCCGTGATGATCTAGTAAATATGAACCGTTGGATAAACTGATGTTTCCATTAGATATAATAGAAGGAAATTTTCTCGGATATTGTTGCAAAATATTGGGCTCCTAAATGATGATTTTGCAAGGCGATCTTTAAATATGATATTAAAAACATAAATATTTTCTTGGAAGCTTAATAATTAATGTTCTTTCTAATTGAGTAAGATATATTGTACAACTGATTCATCATAATAAAAATTATAACGAATAAAAAGAAAATTCATATTATAGTATTATTCATACCCTTGATAAGAGAAACTCTAATAATAGTTTATACCGTACGACATTATAAACGTGAACACATACAAGAGACTTGGATACGTGATAATCGTTGAGAGATTATGGTTCCTTTCTCATTTTTTTTTATCCATAATCCATTAATCTAAATGGTCATGTAAAAATATTGGAAGAGAGGGGAAAAAGAGTCTAGTTCTATCAATAGTAGTTTTTGGATCCGAAGATAGTGCCCCTGCATATCTGATAAAATTCTTTCTAGATGACATTGAAAGCTCTCATCGAAAATCCGAAGACGACGGGTCGCAAGATGGGAATCGATCTGGAGCGACCCGAGCATGAGCTAGACCTGTGGGCCGAGTGACTGAACTCGGGCTCAGGTTTTGGTGCCGACAAGTCGCAAGTCGGGAATTGATCTGAAGCGACCCATGCAGGAGCTGGTCCTGTGGGCCGAGTGACTGAACTCAGGCTCAGGTTTTGGTGCCGACGGGCCGAGCTAGACCTGGCGAGAAAATTTTGCTCGAACTCCCTGGCGAGATGGTCGAAAGACGAGATTGAGGACTAGTGCAGCCGGCTGAACCACGCTCGTGCCGGTCCCCTGAAGTTGGTCGAGAATGCCCCCACACATCAGTGCATCGGAGGTGCCATAGAGGGCCATCTGAGCCTGAAACGTGGCGACATGCTCCGCGGGATCGAAGCCGCCGTCGTATGTATCTAATGCTGGCGGCCTGAAGTTGAGGGGTATAGGCTTGTCCTGTATTTCCTGAGTAAAAAGGGATTCGCCCGAGCTGCCTTCGTTTGACTCACTCCGCGATTTCTGGAACTCGTGCTGGAACTCATCCAGGCATTGGTTGACCCGAAACAACTGGACCCTGAACGAGTCGTTCGCCGAGTCGGATGATATAGTGTCAGGCTCAGAGTGGGGTGGTGTGATTCGGTAGGGTGCGGGTATGCTCTGCTCGGGCGAACCTCTCGAGTCCGTCATTTGCTCTCGGGCTTCTCCCGTCTCGACCTGCTCCCTGCTCGGCCTTTGCTGGGTCGGGTCAGTAGGGGGAGCTGCTAGCCGTGCGATATGGGGAATGAGTGGTACGAGCGTCTGCATCATCCCTGCCATTGCTTGTACTTGCTTGGTCAGGCTGAGGAACACCTCGGGTGACACAGCCAAGGGTCTTGTGGTGAGTTTATGGGGTGACAACCCCGGGTCATCGAACAGGCGCCAGTAGTGATCTGACGTTGAGGCTGGGATCCCCCTGTCTCTAAGGACAGGGAGGGACTAATCTCCGGGCCCGATAGAGGGGTGACCGGTCGATGGTTCTCCCTCGGGGAGAGCTCCTGCGAGATGCTCCTACGACATGGCTCTCCTTCTACCGTCAAAAATATTGATGAACAAATGTGCCATGGCTGATGAGTCAGCACGGCTTGGTCCACGGGTCGATGTCGAGAGTCTTCTGTCGACGAAGCTGGTTGCCGAGGTAGGCCGGACCTTCGTGACGGGGTGTTGATCAGCGTTTCTCGATCTCCAGGTTGGTTGGCAGCTCGCCTTCATGCACTAAATGGCAATTCCCGGGTTGAGACTCTCGCAGCTCGAGGGTGGCTGCTTGCCTGCAAGAATGACCTTCGTCGAGTAATTATCAATTTTTATCTCTCCGACGAGCAAGTCAGTAGTTGTTTCTTTTCTTGTTTTCATCCTCCCTTGGCCAAATGCCGGCCAGGGGCTTTTATACTATTATACGAGGGTCAGTCACACGCGGGTTCGACGTGGCGACTAATCCTCAAAGGATGAGACAATACTTCTGTGCGACTGCCATCCCAGGACACGCGGAACGGTGCCAGACGACATCGTCCCAAGCTTCCGGGATGGGACATGCTAAACAGCGCCTCGGTACGGATTCTGACTCGGCGCACGAAGGTGCTCTGGCTGACTTGGCTGTAGCATGGCGTGACATTGGTTGTGACGTGGCCTACAGCCAAGATATACCTTATCAACTAGTATGTGTATTCATGAAGAATTAAGATTAAGACAAGAAAATTCTCATAATGATCTTGAGTTACGTCAGATGGATATGAAAACAACATTTCTGAATGAGGATCTAGATGAAAAAATCTATATGGACTAATAAAGGATTCATACAAAAGGAAAAGAAAAGTTGGGTTTACAAAAAAACTATTTATGACATTAAACAAGTTTTTTAGACAATGTGTATATAAATTTTTATGATACCATTATTTTCTTCGGATTTAAAGAAAATACTATTGATCAGTATATATATTTGAAGGTTAATGAAAGCAAGTTTATTATATTGGTGTTATATGTAGATGATATTTTGCTTGACAATAATGATCTCAGTTTATTGCATAAAATTAGGATGTTTCTCAACAAAATATTAGATATTCAAAGATAGATATCAATGATTGCTAGGACTATCCTAGAAATGATATATTAACCAAATCTTCAAGAGATTTAATATGCAACTGTTCAACCAATGACACACCTAGTACTAGAGGTAAAAAATTCAATCAAAACCAATATTTGAAAAATAACTTAGAAAAGAATCAAATGAAGGATATTTCTTAAGCATGCGTAGTTGGAAGTATATATTATATGCTTAAACTTATAAGACTATATATCGATTTTACGATTATAATGTTAGGTAGATACTAAAGCAACCTAAGAATGGAACATTAGAAAATTATAAAGAAAGTAATGAAATATCTATAGGAGACAAAAAATTATATACTTACATATAGAAAATCAAATCAACTTGAAGTAATGTGATATTCAAGATGTTGATTTTGTAAATTGCCTTGATAGTAAGAATTCATTTATATTCACTTTAGCTGGAGGGATAATTTCTTAGAAAAGTATAAAATAATTACTTATTGTATCATTAACAATGGAAGTTGAATTTGTGAAGATGATGCCCTTACAAATCTAATAAAGTTCATTTCAAATGGTATCGAAAAGTATTGATCGTAAATCCGATATATTTTTATTTGATTTTAATCTTGATATTAAAATTTTTCATATAACATATAACATATTATTGGTTTTATGACTACATTGCTAATGTAAATATGATGATTTAGTAATGTATATCATGAAACTTGGCTTTATCATGAATGGCCATCAAAGAGTGCTATTCACCCCATAAGATCGAGATCAGACAATTGTGATAGCTGATGGAATTATCTGAACTAAAAAGCATGCATGTCTCCTCGTCCCGCCTGCTCGAGAGATAAGGCTCATATTACATACAGCGTCGACCGCTCGAAGCCGGGAAAGGTGTCCAATATCTGCCGGGCGAAGACATCGTCGAACACCTCATACGGCGTCGCCTCCACGGCCTCATACGGAGCGACACCCGAATGGAGGGCCGGATCGACTCGTCCTGGCGTGCCGCCATAGTCACAGGCCACCGCGCGTCCAGGCACGGAGTCCGCCGTGGGCGAGTTGGCCCTCGCGTCGGTGTCGGCGACGTTGGAGTCCCGGCCGGTGAGCTTCTGCACGAGGCCCCGGAACTTGGCGGGGCTGGTGGTGACCCTCAAGGGGTTGGAGATGTAGACCACCTTGACCGGCTTCTTCTTGGCCTTCCCTTCCCTGGGGCTCTTCTGATGGACGCTTGGCCTCCCCATATCTGGATCTACAAATCTAGACAAGGAGGCAGCTGAAGAGTTGGACGATGTGGATGGGGCAATCAAACAAGGGAGATCAGCTTTATTTATAGCGTATTGTTGAGCCGCTATCTGGGCAGGAAAGATCTGCTGCGGTTAGTTTCCTCGAAGCTGAGGTTGAAGACGAAGAGATCACGTGGGGTAGGATAGATACATCGAGAGGAACACAGGAAGATTCGGAGAGGAGAGAGCAACAAAGGAAAGAACGACGTCACGACGCCAATCTGAAAGCAATCAACGATCACGCCAATAGTTCGCGCCACGCGGTCGTCGAAGGCATCGAAGACCACCCGTATGACATCATCGATATCGTAATACGTAGGGATTCCAGCTCGTAGAATGGATATATGGCGAGTGACTGTAATCACTAGTCACGGTGTTTGAGATGTGACCCCTTTTGGCCAAGTTTGATCTCTTAATTGGAGGATGCATCTGTGTCTTTGTCTTTAAATAGACCTTCGGAGCACAGTAGAACGCTTCCATCTTTTTTCCCGTTGTTTGAATTCCTGTCTCTTATGTTTGTTCTTCGAGAGGTCATTAGGTAGGGAGCAATTCCACCCACGGATTACTGATCAGGAATTGGCACTCCCAGTACTCGACTTTCTTCACGATCGGGGGATGTGGATCACATTTGGGGGCGGGAGGAGATAAGGTAGGATGATCCAGCCATCTAAGATTCGACTGCGTCATTTACCGTCATCAATACGTGCGTGACATCCTTTTCTGCAATCCATGTGTTGATACTGAAGCGAAACTGGTCACTATCTCTCCAAGGCTGTCTTTTGATTTTGATGCTGAACCTGATCACAGAGCATTTGTCCTCAGACCGATGTGTGATCCCTGGTGCTCGGCATCTACGACCATGGTGGATGCTGTTGCTTCTTCCTGTGTTTTCTGTGAATTCAAGCTGATCTGAACCTGCGGAATGCCAGCTTGCATCCATCCTGCAGGCAAAAAAGGGTCACAGAAGCTAGAAATGCCAGCTCAAGTTGCTCTCTGTGCTGCATTTTTTCCACACTTTCACTTGTTAGAAAGATGCATCCATCCTGCAAGAAAACAGGATCATGAAAGGTTGAAAAGCCATCTGAAGTGGCCTTTTCCTGCCCATTTTCCACACTTAGTCAGAACAACATCGCTTTCTCATCCTATATTCCTCAGCTTTTGTCTCCACAGATACATGGACGATGGAGCTCTCTATCTACTCTCCCAAGTCTTCTTCTTCTTCTGTTAATTAAAGATGGCACTGTCATGGAGGAACTCACCAGCGGTAGTTTGATCCTTATCAGTTTCTGCAAATATAATGAATTCCATTAATATCTTAATTATGAGGTGCAAGTGGCACGGGCTAATGCTGCTTCAAGATGTCTGCAATTTGACTGCTCCATGGTCAGAAGAGTTAGCCTCTGTTTTTCTTTTCTTCCTGTAAGACTTTGATAAGATTAAACACAGAAGAAGAAGTAGATTGTTGTACTGTTCTAGCTGCTGGAATTAGATCAAAATTATTGACACATGTATGTATGGTCAACATTGATGATCTGAAACTTTGAACACCTCCTTCTTAAAAGTTCCAATGGTTGACTGACCTGCTATTTCCATGTGGCTATCAGTTTATCTGGTCTTAGCAAGAATGGAGTTGGTCAAGAATAAGTTTTGGAGTCAAATTTCATTCAGTCTCTGCCCAGGAAACAAAAAATTAAACAAATGTAGCAGAAGATTGAATAATTCTGGAAGATATGAGATCTGGGTGAAGGAGAAGCAGGTTTTCTTGTAGCTCAATGTCATGGATAACTTCTCAAGGGAGGAGTAATGCATCTGAAGCAGCTCAGCATCCATTCTCATGGAACATTTGAACTGGGTTAGATTGGTTGATTACACAGCATTGCTCCCTGAGGAGCTCATGGAACACTCCACTTTTAGCTGAAAGATCCAACCAATCATTGATTGATTGAATAGAAAGATGCTTCCAAAGTCAATTTATAGGCATATTTTACACAACTTTCTTATCAATGTTTTTTCAACCAATCTTGTTTATTCCAAAGGCTTAAAATGTTGGGAAAGAAATAAGTTTATATGAAATCTAACACCATGAAACTCCTCAATTTTCAAAGTGGGGTAAGATTACTAATAGATAGATTTCCATTGTTTTTCTCTACCTTTAACATTGTTTATTTCTTTGGTAAATTTATTCTTGTTTTCTCTTCCTTTTTCATGTTATATCAATTAATATGTGATGCTAGAATGTGCTAGAATCAAAATCGATCATCGATCAATCATGGAATCAAAAAATATATTTTCGAGAGTTATTACACTTGAGAATTATATGTTCAAGGTGATTGAACGTTTTTTTAAAGATGATTTCTCAAAATAAGTCCTTCGTATTTAGGCATCACTAGCACGACTATCATTGGGATATGCTCCGTAAGATCGTTTCGATAAAATAGTTAAACACAAGGCTTAAAATAGTGATCTTAAAAGAAATTTTTGATCTAAAACTATACACAAGTGACTTCTATTTATTGTGAATGATCAAGAAAATATTCATTAAATCAAGAATATTAAAGAAAAATTCTTTCATACTGACAGGATGAGTCTACTTGACTGAACTCCATGTGTTAAGTCCCTCATTACTTGAGCGAAAGTAAGGCAAGTTATTTGACAGAATAAACTATGATACTGATAAAAATCTTACTTTTTCTCTTTAATTGAGTTTACAAAGATCTAATATTTATTCTGACATAAACCAAACGGAGAATCTTCGATGCTATCCTAAGAGGACAGATTGCCTTCGCAGTTGATCCATGGACATATCTAATGTTTGTGTGGAAGATGTTGAATTTAGAATCAAAACTGAGGTTAACATCATTTCAAACTCTCAATATGATTCTTTTTTATATATCTTGATGATATATTTTCACATACTGTTTGCATTACTTTCTCCAGAAAGTGTCTTGATCTAATACCCCTTAACCATGCTCGTAGAACAGTCAATGTGATTTGGTCTGCAAAGATATATATATATATATATATATATATATATATATATATATATATATATATGGCAGTAATAACTCTTCTTGCATCCAAGAAAAAAAGTCAATTCTTTTGACATACATCTTCCCATCTCTGTGAGAAGACCTGATGGGTAGTCAAACATTGTCTAACAAGCGAGGCAAAGGAGAGATTTTTCTTTTTGAAGATTTAAAAAGGAGGGATTTTTCATGCAAATTCGGTCTTAATTAATTTTCTGCTGAAACAGTTTTTAGAGGAGCAATCCGATTTGACTTTGACCACGAATGAACTTCCAGTCTCCAACGCTGACTTCAGTGGCATCGCCGTCACGCTGTCGGTCAACCACAGGAGCAGGTAAGTGGGGGTTATCACCGATACAAACCTCGAATGTACGTACGATATACGTATGGGTGGGCAAAAGACACTGCCTACGTGTACGAGCGCACCGCCAACTGACGGGTAAACGGTCAACCGTTGGAACAGTAGAGACGATAATAAACGCAGAAAAAAAGGAAAGAATATGGGATTAATTCCAAATAATCCCCACAAAACGAGGTATAAAAAAAAAGGAAAGCCAGAAGCATCGTTTCAAGAAAGCGACGCCTGTAGATTTGATGGCGCGGCAGCGTCACCCGTTGCCCGAGATCAGCAAAATTTATCGCTTTCCATTATCGAAATCCCCCCAAGTTTCGATACATGGCCAGGGGTTAAAAATAAGAGCCGGAGAGATCGAAGCAGCAGCAGCAGCGGCGGCGGCGGCAGTGGGTAGGGAGTGGCCGTCCTCCGACGCCGCCGCTCCCGAAACCTAGGGTTTTGGCGGCGGATTTGCGTCTTCGGCGCTGTAGATTCCACCGAGATTGCTCCGCGGTGGTCCGATCCGGGCCGGGTCGCGGCTGGTTCGCCTTTTGCTTCGAGCAAGATTCGTTTTATATATATATATATATATATATATATATATATATATATATAGGGCCTCGATCTTCTCCCCCTCCCTCCGGGAGGTCGACGGGTGTCGCTTCGTCGCTTGCTTCCGCTGTACGGATAAGGGTTGGGGGGTTGTCGTTCTCGGTTGGGGATTGCCCTTGCTTTGGATTTATTAGGAGATTCGGTTTTGTTTCTCCGAGGGGTTGGTGTGGAGGGGGAGCTTCTGGATTATTCGGCTTCGGCCCTGTGTAAGCCTTCCAAGGTTGGAAAGTTGAGATTTTGAGGGTGTTTTT